AGGCCCGCGTAAAAGCAAATATATAGTGTTTCTGCAGGAGTGATGAGGGATGATTACAACGCTACGTTTGAAGAGTAATGGGTTTCGGGGTTTTGTAACCACAGGCTTGTGGAGATGGAGGAGAGGCTTCATGAAAATCTGAGACCCCAACTGTGCAGGTTAACTGCGCCCCCATCTGTGGGCTGATGGAGGCGAGGGGGGGGAACAGGATACATCGAAAATAATAACATAAAGCAGCTACATTTTTTTATTTTCCTTTTTGTTTAAAAAAAAAGGCGCCGACAAGATCTGTCTGTAAATGCCTGAAAGCGGCGATGTGGCGAGCAGGAGGCTGCGAGGGCTGAAGATCTCTGTGCTGATCTCCAGACAAGACAAACGCTCCTCGACGCAGGTTTCTTTTCCCTTTTAATAAAAATGAGCCAATTCAGCCCGAGGATCTATTTCTCTCTCTCTAGCTATACATGCACAAGCGATTGTCTCTGTTTGAGGGGAGACATGGAAGGAAACAGGATGGGCAGTGGCACAACTGACTTGGGAATGGTATGACGAGACATGACACCGATATGCGCGCAACACCCCAAAAATTTAAGACAACATTTAACGGTGAAAAACCTGCAAATGGAGATCGTCCGCCCTCCGGGCTCGGCGAAAAATTATTTCAGTGGAGCAGTGTAGCGTGGTCCGGCCGCGATGCTGTGCGTAATGTTTTGAACGGTCGGTCAATGCGCAGACTGGTTGGAAATGACTGTTTTTATTGACGTCAGCGAACAGGCTAGTGCCCCCCTCTCTCATCCCCACAACTGCACCATCTAATGGACTTGGGTTTACATTCCAGTCATCCATCTGAGCTTTAAACAGGAAACGGGAATCCAGTTCGGGGAAAAACAATGCTTTAAATTCTACTTTTTTAAAAAGATAAACATGTGGCGCCTTTTCCAAGACCTACAAAGTTATTTAGGTTTTTCCCTTGTGTGTGTGTGTGTGTGTGTAAGTGTGGAGCTTCAATGAATATTGCATTTTGCATAAGCGCACAGCATTCAAAACAAGAGAATTCAAACAAACGACACAAAAGGAAACCAAAAATAATTTAATAAATTATCTCATATTCGTCCCATGTCCTTCAACAGTAGCGTCCTCGTTATGACCCAAGAAGAAACAGTTCACAATCACCTTCAGAAACACAGATCTGCCTTCCCAACCAAGGCGCAATGACTGCGGCCCTCCTGCAGCATGACAGCACGTTGGCAAGTTGATCATGTGTCAACGGCAAACAAAGACAAGCAAACACAGCATCACAGTCCGGTTTATACAGAATATTAGTGATACATTATGAAGGAGTAACTTTTTTGCCACATGCTCCACAGGGTGACAATGCCAAAGTTTTCAGCTGTTGGTGGACTTCAAAAAACAGAAAAAGAAATCAAAGGTAGCTGGTCCACTCGTCTTCATTAGAGATCACTTATTTATACACCGTGGACAAGAGGCGAGGACATTTGCATTCCTTCTGCATTTTGTCTTTGGAACAATACAATCAGTCACGTGACGAGACAATTTCTAACCCTACGAACAGCGTTTAGAGATGTAAAGTCAGTGATGTCGTCATCAGAGCTTGTTTAAGATTATGACCCATTAAATGAGAACAATAATACAGTGCAGGGTTTCCAAACTGTATTAAGTCCAGCGGCCCAACCTGGTTTAAAAGCGCCAACTGTTAGTTAGCTACTGGATCTTATTAGGCTCCCAACTCTGCCAGCTGGTGTATACATATACATTATACATATAAAACAGCTGTTTGAAAGAGTTAGCAGGACAAACGTTATGCCTTAATGGTGTTCAGCTGATATTTGACTCTCAGTCACACTTGGATTATGTGAGCATTCATCTTGATCTCTCCTGCTGATACAGGCTGTTTGCTCGCTTGTGTTTGGAGATGTAGTGCTAGCTGTCCAGTTCCTCAGTGTCACAGGGCTCCTGTGCTTGTCCTCCTGTCCTATATTTATGGTGGAGGATCATATTAAACATGGCAAAGCTTTCAAAGAATGAGGTCAGCATATGCACAAGTAACCCCCGTGTGCCAGAAGCTTTCTTTTTGTTTTGCCATGTATGATGACATAGCGAGCCAGTCCTCCCAAAATGGCCATTGCAGGAACACAGCTCTGTGAGCAGAGAAGCCCCGCCCACATGTTTAAGCCATCTGCTGAAGGGCAGCCAATCAAAAGACGGTTAGCTTAAAGTAACCAGGATAAAACAGCTCATTTGAGACTGAGGATGCAATGCCGGCCTGCACCAAGGCCCAGTGTGGGAGACTGGCTTATTTTGAACTGTGAATCATGTAAAGCCGATCGAATGTAAAAAAAAAAAGTGATAAAACTTTACACAACCCGGACTTATCGAGTGCTGCTGCTCAGGCCTGTCAACGTTTCTGGTGGAAACTCTGCAAATCCAGGTTAGACAACTTGTATTCATAACATCAAGTCCTACTATATCCACTCTACCTATTAAATCAAATATCTCAATAATACCATTTGACTTTCTATAATCGCAATAAAAATCTATTCATCACAAATTCTGTCTTCATTAGAGAACCTGCGGTCTTCAGTTTTACATTAAAAGGAAACAGAAAGAAAAAACCTCTAACATTGTCTAGTCATTAAATAAGTCTGGGTTGAAATTGTAGCTCTTTGGTTTCCTTCTGCACTAATAAAGGAAACTCTATCACTGTGATCATTAAAGTCTAGTAAACGACACTGGTCCTGTTCTCGCTTCAGACACAGACATGAGCCCACATCGTGACACCTTTATGGAGGAATGTGAGTCTAAGCAACCAGCCGGTGGACGACGCTGTCGTAGTTTGTGTGCGAATTCAAGGAGCCTAATGACAGCGTCAGTCTTCTGCCAGAAACACTCGCACTGGAATGTGAAAGTGGATCTCTGGCAGGGTGAACTCACAGATCCCAGACTGAAGCTCGGGCATAGCTGCTCGAACACTGTGCTCATCCTTCTGGACTATTCTACAGTAAGACTTGAGAAGTTGTGCGGGTTTGTTGTCTGTGTTTGTTTTGTAGTCAGAAAGAGGCAGTTTGCAGAGGCAGGCGCGGCCATCCTTCCAGCTTCTTCTTCGTGGCATTTCGGGATGTTATAGTATCTCCAAGTCTACATGACGGACCTCTGGGTTGCGTTGCTGTAGAGGCACAAAACCAAAGTTACGCACAAACTTGACTTGCAATTCTTAATCAAACACTTTTATTTAAAAATACAAATATATGGTGAAAACGGAGGTTTGTGGCTTATGATAGGCTGGAAGTCTGGATCACTGCGATCCTCTTCACAAAAAGCTAACAGGATGTTTTCTGCTGAAAATAATGTCTGAGTGAAAAAAAGCGTATCATTTGTGTTTATCAAACCACCAAATCTGTGTTTTTGATCTGTAAATGCGATTAGCAGAAGTAACATTGTCAACGTTAGACACCACGGCTGGATGATCAGAAATGGAACTTTTTTGGGAGATGGGATTATGTTAGATTTCCCAGACAACACTCTTACTCAAATATTTCTTATTTCTTTACAAAATATAAAAAGCTTCTACAACTATTTTAACAAGGACATTATTATAATTATAATGAACTCGATGACTGAGATATGGGAGCTCATCCTGACTGTTTCCCAGCTTAAAACAGGAATCTGGAGGGAGTGACGAGGAATATAAACACAAAGGGTCTGCATCTTCTTTAAGAATTCCCCTTTTTGCCATTTAAGTAACAAAAATGTATTTTAAACTTGAGCAAATTAAAGCCAACTTTACAAAAATGTATTAAACATCACAATGCTGGTGATCCTTCTCTGGTCTAAGGCCATGAAAGTGTTTCGTGATGCAGGAAAAAATCTTTCCTAAAGTCATTCCCAGATTTTATGACTCTGCAACAGCATGAGACAAACAACAAACTAGAATAGCAAATAAATGTATATTTCAGTACTTTGAGCTCTTTCTCCAAGCGGTCCACCTCAGCTCCCAGGGTGTCGATGATGTTCTCTCCGTGTTTGAGCATGAAGTTCTCCAGCTCCTCCGGGGTTTTCACCTGCTGAATGTCCTGCAGAGACACAAACATGTAGTTTTGTCAGGAAAGATACGGGTCAACATTCATGACATCGGTCCGAGCCTGCTATTATTGATAACTGGCTAATGCAGCTCATCTGTGCCTTCAAGGCTATAAAACATGACATCACGTGACCTGCTCAGCCATGTGATGTCATGTGATGTCATGTGATGTCTGTCTCTTGGGTGCTTGTGTTTAATAACTTAGATTGTATTTAAATCTGGTGTGGTCTCCCAATCACTGTCTGAACTTTGAAGAACGTAGTGACAGCAGAAACACCATAAGATAATTAACAATAATAAAAAAGTGTCTTTAACAACGTCAGATGCTCACAGCACTAAACTCAAAGATTTTGTTTCACCAGTGAATGTCAAGAACATACTCGAAGCAACTGATGTCTGTGTGAAAAGATTAGTAATCATTGGAATTCATACTGAAGAACTGCATGACACACTGCACAGCTCATAGCCTGCAAGGACAACAACTCCTGCAGATGATAATTACACATGTATGTGTGGAAGACACAAGAATGTGACATTTCCAGATGGAAAATAAAACAGTTATTTTATATTTCAGGACTCAAGGTGGCTGTGTACCTCTGACGTTTTTAGAGAAGTGAGGATAATGAACTGTTTGCTCAACAAGATGAGTTCACAGGATAAATAACTTAAGGGAACAGATTAGACTCTTGTATACAGAAAAAAACTATGCTAACATTTGCAGTTAGCATTGTGTTCCTGACTTTATTAATAAGTTATTAAAGCAACTTCTAAAAATAGCCCAAACATCCAGTCCACAAATCGCTCTCATTCTGAGTACAAACATCAGCACTAAAACAAGATAACTTACGTTGAGGATTTGGTCAATGTCTTGTTTTTCCAGATAAGAACGTGTCACCACGCGGCCATCAAAGTCAACTTCAGCCTTGAAGCGCACTTTACTCAGTCCCATATCCGTGGCCTTCACATCGTGGATGGCCCTGCCGACAACACAAACATCTCAATGGAAGAAACAGAAAAACGATGTGGAGGGAAGCTGCTACAACACAAACGATCCGTATGCAAACGCAACAAATAAAAGAAACCAGTGAAACTGGTTAAAAGGTCATTTTAATTTGAACTGCTGTTCACTGCATGTTGATTTAATCTTCACCATTTGTTTGTGGCTGGATTCAATTTATCAAAGTTAATCATCCAGATTCTGAGTTCATGTTTTGCAGTCGAGGAGGTTCGCGTGTGCGTTCGCTGACCTTACAGCAGGATCGTTCTCCAGAAACTCTGTGAGCTTCTGCACGCGCTCAGCCTGTATGGAGCGTCCCAGCAGGGCCTCTGTGTTAGTGTAGATGAGGAAGGCGGAGACTGCGCCCAGCAACGTGCCAACGCCAAGAGAGCCCAAGCTATCATAGGTCGGGTTACCTGGGGTCAGCGAGTAAACATTCAGGTTAATGACTCCAGTCCAAAAGATCAGAAAAATTATAAACCGGGACATGACGACTCGTGTATTTACCTGTAAGTGAGGTGAGCCCCATGCAACCAGCAGCCAGAATAACTCCCAGCACAGCAGCAGCGTCCTCCAGCAGCACCACGTTGGTGCTGGGGTCTCGGCTCTGCATCACTGCACACATGAATAATACGAGAGCTTATTTATAGCTGAATCTTCAGATATAATTACATCATACCAACTTGCTAATATCCACACTCACAGACGAAAGTGTGTCTCATGCAGTCAGATGTCTGACTTTATTTTGCAATATGCAAATTAATTCTGCCTCAGTGATGCCGTCTACACACAGCAAGACAAAACACACTGTTTTCATTTTAACCTCATCATGCTGATGGTAAGTTAAAAGGCACAATCATACATGTGGCTACTTACCAACACAAAAACATGCTTGTTGTCAAATAGCAGTTCCTAACATGGACATATACACGAGGCAGCCATAATAGCAGGATACACTTTAGCATCCACTATGACAGGAAAGGAGATCATTCACTGACAAGTAAATCATGTAAATTACTGCCATGTTTTCCACAAATAGTCATAAACTGCTAATATATTGATATCATTTGATCTTTTCTTTAACACTTTCACACAAGAATGCTAAAGGCATTATGAACCCTCAACACGTTCTCACTCCCAAAGCGTAACATTTTACGCTAGGTGACAAATCGTCAACATATTACGTTTTCGGCTACCCACCACGTTCCTAAATGACGACCTCGGAAAAATGAGGAAATATGAGAACCGTATGGACTCAATCTACACATGTTCGCTCTTTTTCTTCAAATCGCTTAGAAACACGCTATTTAACATCATTAAAGTCCTGGTTAAGGTCAGGAAAAAGGTTATGGTTAGGCCTAGGGATAAGGTTAGATTTAGGGCTGGAATACAGGGCTGGAACGTCTATTACCGCGGGAGCGTCATTGCACTGGATTTCGGCCATAACCCACCACGTACCATAAGAACGCCGAAGGTCTCCTTTCGCGTTCATAAGGAACGCCGCGGGACGTGACAAAACGTCGGCATGTTACGCCTCGGGAGTGAGAACGGGCTGCAACCGTGGCTAATGTAATAGAAACTGTGGGACACAGCATTTTAATCCTAATATTTATATTCAGAGCACTTTTCTCAACACATATTACAATAACTGTAATATGTGTAACTCAGTTTGCACTTATTTAATCTCATTCGAGAATTTCATTGGATTATATTCACACAGATGCTGAATGTGTGTAAGACAAGTTAACCTGCACAATCTCATCCAAAGAATATTTTTACTCAGTTATTCATGTTTAGATAAGATGCTTTCGTTTTGCAGTTGGGACATTGTAAATAAAATGACACATATTTGCCACATTTACCTGGAATAATTGTAGCGGCAGGTGTAAAGACAGGATATGAACTGATCTGTACGTACCATATTCATAAAAAGACAATCCTTGCTGGCGGGCGCTCCTCTTTATCTCATTGATGGCAACCAGTAACGTGGCTGAGAAAGAAGCAGATGTCTGAGAACAAGCTGCAGAGCAATATCTGATCTGTTCGTTCGTTACTATAACTCACCTCCTTCAGACACCAGAGAGCCCGCCAAAATACAGTAAGCCTGCAATGTGGAAAAAATATGTTGGCAAATGTTTTTTAAATTTGTTTTGAATAATTTGAGTCAACACAGACGCTCACCCATAACAAAGACTCGATGGGCTCCGGGTGCAGCAATCCCATGATGCCGTGGTACCAAGAGAGGCCTGCTCCCATCATAAAAATGCCCACCCCACTGATGAGGGAGGCAATGTAGCGCATGTTGGAAAAGCCATATCTAAATATCAGAGCAAAAAAACAAACAGAACAATGGCGCTCAATTACAGCCAACATTTACTCCACCATGTTTTATGCAGAGCAATAACAGAGATGTGACACCCGCCACAGCCTCAAAGAGTCGATCATCAGCTGGACCAGGTGCACCGAGCGACTCTGAGGTTGTGTGGGCACATCTACTCACCATCATAGCAAAAATGTAGCCATATGTACAGAACTTGTCTACTGTCTTCATAATGTGAATTAGCTGCAATGTCATGAAACTTCACAAATAGATAGAAAAAGGATAAGTTGCAGATTTATTTTGCATAAGGACACAAAACCTTTTAAATGTTTTTAACACTGAAATTAAAGTTATGGATCTCTTCTTGTAAATTTACAAAAGAAAGTTCAAAAGACCTGCCTGGAGAAAATTGCTTACTTATTCTCACTATGTGCATCCTCATCTCCAAAAATAAAACAAATAGTGTGGGTGTCTTTTCCAAATCATTTCTCCTTCTATGAATTATTTATTGGCAAGTTTCCACATCAATGTATCTACTGTTTCTACATTTCTATACTTCTGTAGTTTAGTAATGTTAGTAATGTGCAAGAAAATTTAATATTTGGTTGCTGACAATATACTAGAGGTGGGAATCACCATACAACTCACGATACGATATTATTGCGATATTATTATATTATTTTTTAAATATTTTGCGATATTCAGATTCTGTACATAAAGGTAAACTTTATCAATATTCATTTTCTCTAATATCAAAGTCTCACACTCAGTCTTTCTCTCATTTCAGTTTGATTGTTGACAAACTGAACGGTTTGTATTACAGTCTAGTCCAACTTAACTGAATCAACCATCTGGTACAATTATAGCTATTCTGAACTATGCAGTTTATGAAAACTATGCAGCCCCTTCAGCAACTGAAGAATTTGAAAGTAAATTAAAACGAAATATAATTTTACATTAAATAAAAAAGTTTCAAACTTAATTAAAATAAAACATGTCTTAAATTAAAATAAGTAAACTGTCATGTTTATTAAACACATTTGGACAGTGAAGGAATGTCAGGATTCTTGCTCAGAAAAAGGATCAACATGCTCTGAAGTCAGAGCACAAAAACCTTTTTGTAACAAAATATCGATTTCTGCTGTCCCTGTATCCATACATTATTAGCAAACAAAATATCACCATGCTACACAGTATCCATTTTTTCCCCCCACCTCTACAATATTCTGCAACTGACTTTGACACATTACTGCTTTTATTCCTATTCTGGCGAGCACTGAACCTCTTTTAATGAGTACAGGAAGGTGTACCACTTACGGGTGCACGGCATCTGGGTTGCGGACAGACTGGCTGATTCCCAGAGCGAGCAGAGCCTGGTTGCACGTGTCGGCCAAAGAGTGGATGGCTTCAGAGAACATGCTAGCTGATCCAGTGTAGACCCAAGCCAGGAGCTTGAAGAAGAAATTCAGCCCATTTCTGAGAACAGAACATAAATAAGTGAAGCGCTCACAGGGCACACAGATGTAAAGTCTCACATGTCAAGCTCAACAACAGTTCTGATTAAATTGGTTTATAGATTTATCAGGTTGCCTACACTGAAACTGAAACTTAAACTTAAAAACTGTTTTAATCCAACATTGTGTGTAAATTGTTCCAATTTCTATTCTAATGCCTCTCAATCACTGTCATGTGCACTATGGAGTCCAGTGAGTCTCTCTCCTATTTTATACTGATTCTGCTACATGTGACTGCACATGTTCTCTAACACAATCACCTTAACTTAATAAGCCACAGGACTGCACATGATGCATGCAGTTTCCATGCGATTCCTAATAGAAATGTGTGCATTTCTCAGGAAGTCTTTACAAGTTTCTTCTCATCTGAGTTCACATGAGGTGAATGTTTTGCACTTTTATTCATCCGCAGCAGATTTCTGTTTTGCCGTTTGATTATTTTTGCACCTTCTGATACTTATCCAGCATACTGTATGTAGTAACCCTGCTGAGAACAGACCCGTAGCTCCTCTCTCTAATCCAATACCTCCCACTGTGTGTGCAAGAGCTCAGCAAAGCTGCTGAGTGCAGAAAGACCAAAATGCACTCATGAATGAGGGAGACTGGTGAAACAACTTACATGCAAATAGCAACCATGACCACCTTCCCTGGCCCTTGTAGAAATGTCGTCCTCTGGCCTGATCGTGGCTTTATGAAAGATAAGAGACATTATTACTCTGCAGTTAAAAGGAAATCAGACCTGTAGTACGAAGCAGGATTACGGGCTTAACGAGACGACTTCAGTGTTAACATATGGAGGTGCTACACCACCACTGGAACTTAACCTGAGCAGGTTTTATTCGAGATCAGCAGATACGAAACCACTCCTAGAAGATCCAGTGGACCACAGTGTGCAGATAAAAAAAGAGGGTCTATAGTTTTTAGAGACCATCTAAACAGTTCCCTTAAATAAACACATGCAGGGAACTTATGGCCTTCAATTCTGTCCTGTTGGGATATAAACCTGTTCTGCAGTTATACAAAGCTGCACAGATTGAGCCTCAAAAACAAATCCTGTGTACATTTCACACACAAATCAGTCATTTATTAATAATTTGGTATCTGGATTTGTTTGTACCTTATGAACATCTTTAAAAAAACAAACAACAAAAACCTACTTACTACTACTGATTATTACAATTATCAGTTTTTCTTGTTATTATTATCTTTGGTCATAATTTATAGCCTTCATCTAGATACATCTGCTCACATTCATACAAACACTGGTGTGGCAGCAGCAGCTGTGTTCACTATAACACGCCTTATGTATTTAACCTGTTTTGGACTTTTTACTTTTACCATTTTAAACCTTGTGGGGTGCTTCCTGTTTTTAAATCAGATTAATTTGCACAAACAGGTAAAAACCAAAGTAGAGCACATAAACAACTATATTCTTTTTTTTAGTTCTTTAATTTCTGAAATGCAAGATGTATCACTGCAAAGAAAAAGAAAAGCATCAGATAAATACCAGTTAAATACCAAATAATCATAAATGGCCCACTGCTAGGTGGTCACTTGTAGCAAAAGATGATATTACTACTATCGTTATTGGGCTCATATATGATTTGTGGCTCCATGCAAATTGTTTTGTGCTCATAAATGTCCCTTTTGATACTAAAGGCTGAGGAGCTGTGACCGAACTACTCTTTGTTCGTAAAAGACACCACTGGATAACAAATCAGTAGAAGTGTGTTTGTGATGGGTCTACCCCGGGTTGAGAATTAATAACCACCTTTGAGTAATGTGGGAAAGCTATCCTATGTATGCTGAACTTGCACTGTCGTACATGCTCTAGGTATCCAAAAACCCAAGTTTAGGTTGCAAATAAGAAGATGTATGTATGTTGTTGTCAGGATTTAACACACCAGTAGAGTATAGAAAACACCATGACGCTCCAGACAAATGGAGAACAGTGCAGTCGCTGAAATAATGTCAGCATCGTAGACTAACAAGGGGACTGTGTGAATGCCAACAGATAATAGGAATGTGTCATAGAGATGCAGTGACCTCTCTAACAGGGGCAAAGATCAGGTAAACACCAGCTGATATTATTTTATCCAAAGAACTTGGACGTG